AACCTAGGAAGGCAAGCTTACGAAAGAGAAATTGTGATTTTCCCTAGTTCTGCCATAGTTTGGTTTCCCTGTGATTTTCCTGCTGTCCCCCTAACCGAGCCATCCCCATTTGAGCTTCCTGCCACTGGACCACAGATTGCCCTTCACTTAATTCTTACAACAACTCAAAATTTAAATCGAATCAAATAGACTAACTGCCTCCTTTCGACACAAACTTTATCCTAAAGGGAATATTATGATTTGATATATATTTATTTCAATATTAGTGATAATGTACACATGCATTTCATCTCAGCGAAGTAGATTAAAACGATTGATTAATAGCAGGCCTACGTTTAGTTGCATTGATGGGTTTCTTTGTGAATGCAGATATATTACCAGAGGCGTACATGAAAGGACAAGATGCATTACCTTCTTATGTAAATTTCACCTCTTTACTCTTCCCCGAGTCTCTTAATCAGATAGAGGCGGTTCGTGCACAAATTCCTGTTTCGCTTACTATCCAAATAATTTGATTTAACCAACATCCATCACATCGCGGTTAAACATTGTTATGGCATATATTACGCGTAAGTATATTGTACTCAAGGAGCCGATGCCTTTAAGACCATGTAGAGTTTTTGTTATGGGCTCATCAGCCCCCCCTAATGATCCAAATATATACGTAGAAAAGTTGGGCCTAGAGGAATCTCTTGTTTGAGTGAGTGCATTTTGAAGAGATTCAAAGGCCGATCCCACCAAAAGATGATGGCGGATTTAGCTTGAACATTCCTGTTGACGCTGTTTCAGTGGCACTCTCCTTCTATGCGTGCTAAGCGATTTTTTACCATAAGCTCATCAAACTATGATAAGAAGATAATTCAGCAGACATTTCGCGCTTAGCTATCCGTTTCCAAATGCAGACGTCGAGAGGGCGGCCGCATTGAAACACTAGTCTGATGGAGCCTGACTTTAGCGCTGGATCCAATTACTCTCTATACATGGGTGTCACCGAAGATGATGGCTATCTCCCTGAAAATGGTACCCATTTTTCACCGTCCGAAGCTGGCCCCTCTTTTGAGGAAGAAGCCATGATGTCCAGATTAGCAAGCAACAAGTGTTATAAACAACTTGACCCAGTTCCAGTAGGTTCACTTTAAAAAATGGCGCTACTTTCAATCAGGCCTAAAGATTAGTCGTCGTTAAACGATAACTTTTCGACCGTATATATGAAGAGCAAGATGATATGGCCCTCGGTTAGGTCGCACCAGTAGTGTTGGTTTGGCCTCGTTTTGAATACCTGCTTGGAGCGATAGAGACCTTGTGGAACATATATAACCCCGCATTCTCTGCTATGGCATTCGAGATTACCGCAGACTGTTGCCTTGGTATACTCCCAGACGTTTAACCGAAATCGCCAATGAGATGCGCCATCGGTAGCACAGTTACGTCTGGGAATGCGCCAAGTGAATGGGCCGATGCTAGAAATCACGAATACTATACCAGAGGACGTAGAGCATGCTATGTTCCATAAGCCTCATTGTCGCTGCCAACAGGGCGCGAAAACGATGTCAGACCTACATCATGACTTTTCGAGACCACATAATTCCCCGCCTTAGTAACTTCGATATGCCAAACTTATATTTCCAATACTTATTGATCGTTAGCTTGCAACTTTAGTCATACCCTCTGGAGTTGAGACCCAACTCCAACATTGCTAAACTGTTTGGTCTTCCAGGAACTTCTTAATCTGTTCGTGATACGGCTATTTAAATAAATCATGAAATGATGACCACGCTGCCAGATATGTGATCTTCGTAACCGTCAAAGAATCTCACCATAGTGATAAAGAAAGCCTTGCTGAAGTAAAAATGAACTTTAATAGGTGTAGATTAGTTATAATCTTATGGATGAAGTGCGTACAGATATTCCGAAAAGGCTGAAAGAGGTCATAAACCTTCTGATTGTGATCTCGTATGGGGAATTACATGCATCAAGACAGCCCGTTAAATCAAATTCTGACCTAATAGATTTTCATTTAAGGTCTGAGACAAAAAATAATCAGAAAGACAGACAAGAAAAAAATATCACCAATAGCACTGCTTCAATAGGATGATTCACAAACCCCTCAAATCCATGGTGGCATAAAGATGTCTGATAATGTACAAGAATAGGGCACTTTTTACAACGCATATCTCGGTAGGTGGGAGTGGGAGTAGTATTTAGGATGATTAATTTCTCCTGGCTCCTTATTTTGACTCATACTTAGTATAGGCTTTTCAGTAACATTCGTTTTAATCTGATACATACTTCAATTCATAATTTTCTACATTGTTAAATTTTTTCCTCTATAATAGAGAAACAATGTAGTGTCATCTCTATAACTGATGATGCCAACCGCCTAGCAACATCTATTCCGTCCAATGCACCGTGACTTCGGTATTCTCATCCAGGTCGTAGAAACCCAGTTCCCGAGTGTCAGCCTCTAGCTCGAGGCAGATGCCCGAGGCCCGGGAACGATCATCTTCTACTACTATGCGAAGTTCGGACTTCGATGGCAACCGTAAAATTTTACGCAGCATGCCTCGCAAATGGCCCACCGTGATACGAAGAGGAAGTCGGAGAGTAACATGCTGGGAGTTCGGAGGTAGACCAGGCGACGGAGGCTGACAGCGAAAGACAAGGCTGATCAAGGTCTCACGAAGGCTCCGAGTAATTTGCTTTGCAATAAAATGGATAAAGACAAAGGCTCAGACTACTTGCAGTGAATCAAAAGACTGTAATAAATGTATAGCATGTTTTCCAATAGTAGGTTCCAAAACGAGCGGAAATCATTTGAAAAAAATGAAACTTATTTTTATACTCGAGCAGGTAATTAAATAATTAATAATGGACACACTTTAGTATCGCAACAAAATATTTAGCGCACTATATAATCCACTCCGCCTTACTTTTAGATTGTGAAAAACAATAGTTAAATTATGAACATATTAGTCTTGGACTCACCAAATTTCATTATCCCTATGTTTTGTGGAAAATTCAACAAGTGATAACTAATCGATGTGGAAAATTAAAAATTAATTGCACATACTAGGGACAAGATTTGAAGCTGTTATTGATATAGCATTATCGAGGGCTTCT